ACTCACATATTTTGGCCACAGCAAGGTGACAAACTGCAGTCAATCGACAAAGGGCAGTTTTCCAACTACTGACTTCCTTGCACTCAGGGAATTTATTTTGTCCATGATCTGCAAGATCATGCAAACCAGACACAATCTATACAGCTATTGCAATGGAAGGTAAAAGCAAATGTGGTTTGCAGATGCTTTTAGTTTTCACACCGATTCATGGGGGGGGGGGGGCACATGCTGCAGTCAGAGCTTCAAAGAGGAAAAAAAAAGAACTTGGGCATAATCTTGAGTTTCTCATCTTCATTCCCAGTTTTTCCATCAGAAATGCACAAGGCCAAACAAGACAAATTTGGATCACTGGGGAAGCTGAAAGCATGACTCTCACTGCTACAACCTCTTCTGTTCCCTCCCTGGTTTTTCTTGTTCCCATCATTCTGTCCAAAATACCAGCCCTCATTAACCCTGGAATTCCTGAGCTGACAGGTTGTCATGACATGATGAGCCTGACAAAATAGTACAGCAGAAAAAAACCCCAAACCCAAACAACCTTTAATCAAACGCAAACTAACTCTTGCAAACAAAGCCTGTTTCAAAATTCTCACTTCCATGCTGCCAATATGCAATTTTTTAATTGTTAAAGAGATACTCAAGTGTTTACCAGCAAAGACTTTGAGACCACATCTAGCAAGCAGTGGAAAGATGTGGAGGGTCCAATTTCACCAGCCAACGAGCTACCAAAATACCCCAAGACATACCTGAATCTGAACATCACATATCTACCTCATAGAGCTAATACAGAAAAAAAATAATCTAGAAGGTATTTTGTGGCTTTTCACTTTCAAAACCAGTTGAGTAGGTAATGGAAAAAAATACTGGGCTATCCATTCTCACTAGCATTTGTTGAAATCTCACATTCTTCATACAGGAAATTCCAAGGTATTTCTGAAGTTTCTTCTAAATCTATTAACAAAAATTGTTGGTTGGGGTTTTTTTGTTTGTTTTGTTTGTTTTTTTTTAATGACTCAGGCATAGCACTTAGACACAGGCAAGAGACCTGTGTTGATCAATGGCCACATATTGGTTACTCAGTTTGGAAAGCATTAGGAATCTCACCACACCAGTGCAGCCTGGCCAGACCAGTTTCTCCATTTTGGACAACCTAGGAAGACAATCCACCTCCAGTGTTTTCCCGCTCTTCCCAGAGTGATAAGAAATTATGACTAACCTTCACATCAGAGAGCTGACAGAAAAAAAGTTCTGACCTGAAACACATGTTTTAGCGTTCTAGGAAGCAAGGTTTTAAATTGCAAACCCTGACAGATCTTTAACTGCAGCAATAACAAATAACATCAGCGTAATTTCTGTTGAAAGAAATTGCTCTGCTTTCTTATCCAGTTTCCAGCTTAAAACCCTTCATTGCTGATGCTGTTGTCAATCTTATCTAGTGACCCATTTACCCAAAGCACAGAATTACAGAACAGGATTTTATGACAAGTACAGAGGAGGCTTTGACACTAATAATACTCAAGATTTTGTGGACTCAGATTGTTTTTAGGGCTTGGTCGGAAAGGCCACCTTTCCTTCACGTAAAAAGTCAACAATCCACCTCAGAGGTTTTACAAATGAATTTGTCGTGGCAATTAAGGGGAAGAAGTTCTACAGACACGATAAAAGGTGAGTAACATCACCATGCACCGTTACATTACGGAATAAGAGAGAGACCTTTAACACATTGCTCTGTGAACAGTCAGGAAATCAAAAATACTGTCTGGATAGTTACATTCTATGACTTTCAATGAATCAGTGATGTCTGCAATGCACACCCGACCTTTGAGAGAGAGGGGAAAGGAACTCAGACTGAACAAAGTAACTTCCAGTGATCTGTAACAGAGGGTTGAAGGGCTCTGTCTCTCACTGTGGGTCTGGACTGATAGTAACCCAATGCACAACCAGGCAGACCCTCAGGGACTCTCCTCCCTCACCCCCACAACAAGGTCTGAAAGGACAAGAACCTGAAATCCACTGGGAAGATGCTCAGTGTGTCTGTTCTGGTTAAAATACACGGTCTGTTCAACTTCCCAGGGTTCTTCTAGAGAAGGCAGTGGCAGGGAGCAGACAGCACGTGTAGAAAGTCACCACACACAAAGCACACAAAACCCTTCTGAAAACACCAAGGCGCTGCTGGGGATGAGAGGTGGGATGATGTGCAACCTAAAGCCATAAGGGCTACAAAATCCACACCATTGTGAAAGTGGTCCACTCCGTTATGCTCGGATAATGCTGTACAGGATGGGGAAAAGAAACCTCCTTGTTGTGGGTTTGGGGAATTTTTCTTTTTATGAGGGGTTTGAGGAGGGTTTTGTTGTTTGGTTGGTTTTTTAAACACAGCTGCTACACATCCCGAGCTTCCCATGTCTCTCACTGGTATTGCCAGTGGTTTGGGCAGGGTTTATTTTGTTCCAGTGGTTGCAGTGGAATGCAATTCTTCCACTGGGCTGGCCCAGCTTTCCTCAGTGTTTTTGCTGTAAGACAGTCACCACATTCCCTGTGTGTCTGCAAAACAACAATTTCCAATGTGACAGTGAGAATGTTCAAATATCAGCTCTAGGTTTTCTGATACCAAATTCACTTGATAAAGAAACAAAAAGCATCCACGAACATGCAGCTTAAACACATTTGTTGCCACTAAGTACATAAAAAACCATCCTAAACATGCAATTATTACATATCATACCCTATATACCCACGTTATTTTGTGAAACCATCCACGTTCACTCGAGTGGTTTTAGCTCTTAAAATCTACTTTTTAATAATATCAATTTAGAAAGCAGCATTACCAGCAGATATTAGCATATTCAAGCCCTGTCGAATTCACAGGGCTTTTATTATCTTCTTGTTGTTTACAAATTTTACTGTCATTCATCACTGCAAATCATCAGCTCTACTTGTGGCTGAAGAAAACACTAACTCAGAAGGCAGAGATGAGTGCAAATGTATTAATCAGAGATCATGATTTTTCTACCAGGAATGTTATGCTCTCAGACACCTATAATTAGACATACCCAGTACCTATAATCTTCTCAGTTATTCAAAATATTATGGGGACTGCTCAGTGTGGGTAGGAATGGAGTGAATAACCAATATAAAGCAAAGATACAGGTAAAGCGAGGTATTTTTAGAATTAGGCTATAAAAATACATTTCTGTTCTAGAATTTCTAAAAAATACACAAAAGAAATATTTTCTGCAGAGCACAGTGGCAGCTTAAATAGTGAGACCTGGTGTGTGAGCAGCATGAAATCCCTGGGCCTTCCCTGGGTTGTGGAGATGGAGGGAAACAGGATAGGTCAGATTCCTTTTTTTTTTTTTTCAACTCAGTAACCCCTACTTTTTAGTTAAAAGGAAAAAAAATTGTCAGTCTGAGATTTCCAAGGCCATGTAGTGCTTTTAGCCATGCTGTGCACAAAAAGGAGCAGCAGGTGAGACTACTCACCTCTGGTTGCTTCATGAATCTAAAGCATATGCCACAACCACACATTTAATAATCTACACAGGGTTTATTTTCTGTATCAATTGTGTACTTTTAATTTGGTTAAGTAGCAAAGTTCCAATTGGGTTTCAGAGCATCCTTAAGGATCAAATCCTGACATCATTTTTCAATACTAAACCAACAAATGAATCAATATTTACAGGATTATCAGAATTTAAAGGAGTATATCTGCAGTTAAATATCTTTAAGGCAACTTCTGAGTATTAGAAGGAAATACATTTTAGAAATTAAGGGTTAAAACAAGAACACTGGCAACATTTGCTGGATGTTGGCTAATTTAGAGAGACAAGCCTCTGACTGAAGACAGCCAGCAAGATGCTGCTTTAGGAATTGTGTAAAAATGAAGTGAATGCCACCAGTTGTCTGGAGCTTAAAACACTCAATCTAAAACTTTAAGCTCAGAATGCAACACACACGACCAGAGCAGGAAATTAAGCAGTGGCTGGACAGAATCTTTTCTGCCTATCCTGAATAATAACCATCCCTTGGGCAACTCCATGAGAAAGCGCACGGCAAGTGTAGGCTCAGAGTCACAGGGACTGGCTTCCACAGGGAAAATTGCTCTCTGCACGGAACAGCACAGAAACCTCAGAGAGCCTCAGATCTCCCTGGGTAAGCCAACAGCACTGAAGAAAAGAAAACAAATGGCAGAACACTGCAAGCTCATCTCAAGCATCAGCAACGCAGTTCTTGTCCCTCTGGTTTATGATTTAAGCTTGACTTACAAGCAACTTGAGACAGTCCAGAACCCACAAAGTTAGTGGGTGTTGCAGGACTGCGGAGACCAGAAGAAAAACCACACAAACAATAAACTACCACAGACAGTCCTGGACAATCCCCTTACACCTTCCTGAAACCCAAACACGGACACAACGCAAAATATAAAATAACAGATCAACTACCTCCGAAGCCATCCCTACTTATATGAGTTGTGTCACAAAAGCTTTACTTTTTATACCATTCTTATGTTCAACTTCTGAGGTGTTCACCCACCTCTCAACTGCCAGCATTGATAATTCCTGCTTTTGACTCATCTTTTACTGTCAAGCCCTCACTATGATTCCTCTCCTTTCATTTTCAAGACTTGTTACCTTTCCCTTAACTACGTCCTCCTTATCTCATGTTTTCCTTTTCATTCCTTTTCATTCAGGAGCCTGCTACTGTCTCTATTTTAACTGCTCTCATTAAGAACTTCGGAGATCAGTTTCAAAAGCCAGTTCCCAAGTCATAATGTACACATCAAAACAGTCCTCCTTTATTTACAAATATTCTCTACCGCCATCAAATGTTGCATCAGATTCCCGTGATTGTTCACAGGAAGGCATGGAAGATTTTTTTCAAACATTTACTTAAACAGAGTTAATAATTCTTTCCCCTAGAAACAAGGGTTTGCAACTTCCTTAGAAGAAAAGCCTCCCTACTTTTACCATTAAAGGTTGAACCAGGGAAGTCAGGCATACCTGTGCAAGCTGCCCCAGAGAGCAGAGGTGATGTTTTGTTTGATTTGTGTAGAGAATCTCTCCAAGCTCCTGATAAGGCTTCCTGAGGGGGGTGAGGTGTCCAGGAGTGAATGGCTTTTCCCTCCTACGGTCATTTCCCCAGAACACTTGTTCCCTTGGAGGTTCACTGCTTATGGCCAAGACCTTTCCCTCCTCCTGAGCAGAGCCAGGCAAAGCCTAAATGTGCATAAAATCTCAAAGGTTCAGCACTTTAGTGGCTGCCAGCACCTTTATTGTGCTATTCTGAGGTGGATCTGGGACCACAGGTGCCTTGAATTTGCTGCTCCTGGGTGGATTTGGAAACACAGGTGCCTCAAATTTGCTGTTCTCAATTTTCTGGTCCCACCTATATTTGCTACCAGAGGTGCCTCGAATTTTCTGTTCCCAGTTTGCTGTTCCCACATACATTTGCTACCACAGGTGCCTTGAGTCTGCATTTTTTTAAATGCATCTGGTACTGGCACTGTTCCAGAACAGGAAACTTGGTGGTTTTAATTCCCTAAATTATTAAAACCACTTACTTCCCAGCCATGAAAACACACACACAGCTGCCCAAACTCTGAAGCAAGTGTTTTTAATTTTCTAAAGGGTAGCCCAGCGGAAGGATCTGCAGTTAATTAACACTACACGAGGTCTTATTCCCCTCGGTAGCCGCTCAAAGAAAAAAAAAAACAAAACAAACTAGAAACAAATCCTGAGGGGCCGGGACACCTTTAAACCCAACCAACCTCCTGGGGACCAGCCGGAGCATCTCCCTCTGACGGGTTTCATGTCAAATAAAACGTATTTATCGCTATTTCTACCAACAGCGGCACTTGCCCTGCCCGCAGCCCTCACGCCGAGGCTGAGGGAGGCGCCGGGACGCCGCTCCCTCACGACCCTCCCTCGGTCCCGGGGCCGCCCCTGAGGGCAGGGGGGCTCTGCGGAGAGTCCCAAACAAATCGGAGGGTTGGGCAATCACCGACCGTAGGAAGTTTGACGAGGGGCAAGCGCCGGGTTCTGCCCCTGGGATGGGGCAAGCCCTGGCTGTGTGTGTAGACGGGGGAACGAGAGGCTGGAGAGCAGCGCCGCGGAAGGGGACTGGGGGTCCGGGCAAGTCGGCCGTGAGTCAGCAGCGCCCTGGTAGCCCAAAGGGCCACCGTGTCCGGGGGGGCATCAGCCCGGGCGAGGGAGGGGATTGTCCCAGTCTGCCCTGCCTCGCCTGGAGTTCTGGGGGCAGTTTGAGGTTCCTCCTGGAAAACCCACACTGCGGGACACCAGGAGGCAGCAACTGGTTTCTCCAAGTGTGGAGGTTGCCCCTGGAGATGGACTTTTTTCACCTTTCTTTCAGATGAGGGACAAGCTGAGGTGTCCCCTCGAGCTGAGGGACACCAGCACTGTGGCCAAGCGACACGGCCATAAACAGTGTGTTTTGCCTTTAAATAAACAGAACTTCATCGCAACATTGTTGGAGGAGGGCTCAGTAATTAAAGCACTGGGGGGACCAGAATGTCATTCTAACAGTAAGGGTGATATTCCTCAGTATTTCGATTAAATAAATATAGTCCTTGGCTCCTCTCCCACGTGACAGCTTGGGGTGCCTGGCAGAGCACCCCGGGCCCCTTCAATGCCCAGGGGACCTCAGGCAGGTGCTGCTCAGCCCTTCAGAAAACCCATCAAACCTCACTCCTCCCACGACCGTTTTCAGTAAAAGCCTTTCAAACTTCATTCAAACCTTGTCAAACAAGCTGTAACTGGTGCAAATGAAAACTTAAGATGAATTTAATACTGTACCTATTCAGCCCTAAAATACAGGGCCGATCAGCAGCAATAACACATTATTTGAGGTACATGATTTCCAGCAGATTGGGTTTTTAGCCTGTCAAGATCACTCCAACCATCTGAATCCTGTGAGTTCTCTAAAGGGACAAGGTATCTAGAAACATCTCATCCCTCCCTCCTCCCTGTCTTTCCTCTCAGCCCTGAAAAAAACACCCTTGATATAATTTCTCTGCATTTTAATCTGTCCAACGCTTCTTTGCTATTATAACTTTTGATTTAGAGTGATGTGACCAGACAGGAGAGGGTAGAAGTGGTGAGACACAGTGGAGTTGTGGGGCTCCAGGGCCCTGAGGCTGCAGGAGGACACAGGGGGTGTTTGCAGCTGGGCAGATTCCCCTCTATCTCATTCCTCCTCAGCTTTATATTTTCTACAAGCTCAATTTTCCACCAGAACCTCGTGCATTGCTCTGCTTTTTTTTTCAGGAAAAGCTTCCCAGACACACAGTGGTTGGAGCCAGAGATGCTCACCCACTGATCTGCTAAACTGGGGAGCTGGAAACACAATTTCTGCTACTTTTCTCATTGGATGCAGCTTAATCATAGATGTTTCCAGCTGAAAAGAAATATTCCGACACCCAGTGTTTGAGACAGCCACGAAAAATATCACAATTTGGTAATGATGACCCTCTGAGTGCCTGCTTTTGTTGGACCTGGGTGTACAAGACTGATTTCAACTGAAGTATTAGAGAAAGAACTAGTTTCAATGAATTCCAATACACAAATGGTGATGTCTCACCTGGCACTGGGATTTCAGCTCTGGGGATTCAGACAACCTTCATCTGCAGCAGGTTGGGACTACTGGAGCAAGGGGACCTGGCTTAGACAAATCACCCCAGCGCCCTCTGGACCTGGGAGTCAATCCAGATGCTGCAGAGGAGCTGGGTGGGCACACAAGAGCCATCCCACCCCCCCACCCTGCACACAGCAATGCTGTCAGGAGCCGTGCCCAAAACACGCTCTGCTTCCCTGGCAGATCCATTCTTTAACAGCTTTAAAACAACTAAAGGCTTCATCAGGATGTTCAGGGCCCGTGTGCTGGGAAAGGCACAGAGAAGATGTGCCCAGGGTGATGTTCTGTGCACAGGGTGATGTCCTGCTGGGGCTGGACACTCCCTGTCTCTGTTGGTCTCCACTCTCTGCAGTTCATGCCCAGGTCCCTCATCCCACCAGCACAGAGGCACCCGCACCCCATGGGCAGCATACACAGACTATCTCACAGACCTCTTGCACCCACCATCACACCTCTCTCCAGGCTGTTTGCATCTTGTTTCCCCCAAAGTTTGTCCCTGGGGAGCCCACCCTGCAAACTCCTTCCTGGCAAGGAGTTCCCTCTGGAGCACCAAGCTCGGAGAGGAGCACGCTGCCTGTGTCTGGCTCCTTAGTGCCATGTCCATAGAAATGAGCTCCCACCAAGACAGAGGAGGAGGTATTATTCAGAAACAAGCAAAAAAGATGGATCTATGGGTTTATGTTTTTGGAGACATCCCCCCCTTTCTTCCTCCCACATCCTTCGGAGGCTACAGAGCTGAGCCGCGTGGGATCTCCCAGCACTTCCCTTCCTCAGCTCCATTTCTCCTCCACCCTGTTCATCTCTAGTCCTATTTTCAAGCAATACTCCAGGAACAACAAGTATACATTTGTTTCTTTCTTTTTTTTCCTCTTGTGTCATTTCTCCATCCAGCTTACAATTTTGGTGGCAATTTAACAGCTTGTACAAATTACATTCCTATCTTTTTCTCAGTTATTGTTAGAGGAGAAAGTCCCATTTTTCACTGTGATCCTTCAGGTTTCTGCTGTCACTGTATTTAAGACTTTTTCTTTTTTTGTCCTTAGCTTTTATTTTCTTATCCCTCAAGGGCAGCCTTGGAAATTCAAAGCTGTTCCCTGCCTATCAGTAGATCTGGTATTCTCTTTTGGCAAGTCCACAGCAACTGTCTCCCTTCCTTCCATTCTTCCACCTAAATGACACCTTTTCTCAATAAATTACCCTTTGTCTCTCAAAGCAACAGTTCCATTTGTGACAGTTTGGATGTATAATAGTTGCATCCCAGAGGATACCTTCAGGAGCGTCAACTAACAGGCCAATACAAACTCACTGGTGCAGAAAATAAAGAGATTTATGTATTTTGAGCCTTATTTCCCCCCCCCCAGTAGTCAAGCTGTGCTCTGAATTTTCAAAGTTTGCATTTTAAGATACAGTGGCTCATCACCAAAAAACCTCTCCTGGAATGGAGGGGTGGCAGAATTCCCTTTTTTCCAACATAACATCCCTTGGGGTCCCATCTCAGAGCAGCCAAACCCACCCAACCATGCCCCTCCTGGTGTGGGGCTTCATGGATTGTTTATGCTACAGAGGAAACATTGATTTTGCAACCATTTCCTAGCAGTAATGACGTCGATCGATTAGTAATGCTGTTGCTAATGGAGGGTAAACATGTGGAGCAGCAGCTTTGGGGTGTCCCCAGGCTCCCTGTGGGCAGTGGGGTCCCCAGGAGCCCCCTCTGCCCTTGGGGACACACTCACACCCAGCACTGCTGCAGGGGGGATGCAGCAGATAAAGCTTGAGAGGACTGGATGGTCACACCCTGCCCCCATCAGATGACAGAGATACCCAAGCCCAGGGCTGGCAACAAAACCACCCTCCCTGGCTCCTGCAAACTGCCCAAAAGCAACAGACTGAACATTTTTACAGAAGTTGTCAAGATCCAGACCTTGGCTTTAGCAGCCTGTGACTTTCTTCTCACAGCCCTGCACCTTCTGTCTCCTTTCCAAACACCAGACAAGCCGAACATTATTTTCCAATCCCAGCATCTGGCACGCAGCTCTGGGCAAGCCTCTCAGCCTGTCGCTGCTGAGATAAATGAGCCCGTTTCAGCGGCCGACTTCATAAAAGTATATGAAAAGTAGTTAACAAAAGGGTATTTCACAAAGCCAGGAATGCAAATGCAACCTCTGAGATAACTAATTAACTGAAGGAGCCAGACAAAGGGGAAGCAGCTTCCCATCTGTGGAAATAGATGTCATTTTGTAGAGGCTCTAATTAGTTCTGCCCTGTCCCGCAGCCGTTTTGTTGTTGGCGCACACAGGCTGCTCCTGCTCTGCAGTTCCCGGGGCTCTCAAGGTGAAGAGGGGGAGAGCAAAAATGGGGGAAGAGGTGCTTCACCTTGCAAAAGTTCTCTACAAGGGATCCAAGCAGCAAACAAAGCCAGGGTTGTTTTTTGGAGGCTGCCAGTGCAGCTGAGCAGAGCCATCCAGCACAGAGCACTGGCAGCGCTTGGCCCGGACTGAGCCTCAGGAAGATCACGGAATCACAGAATCATTCAGGTGGGAAAAATCCTCCAAGATCCAACCATTAACCCAGCACTGCCAAGTCCACCACTAAACTGTGTCCCATCCCAGCACTTCCATTGAGAAGTGGAGTTTTTTTCAGGTTACCTGTGGATGCCCCATCCCTGGAAGTGTCGTCCCAGGGGTCAGGTTGGATGGGGCTGGGAACAACCCAGTCTAGTGGAAGGTGTCCCTGCCCGTGGCAGGGGTAGTTGAACTAGGTGATCTTTAATGTCTTTCCAACCCAAACCTTTCTTTCA